AGAGATGCACTGGAGTTTTTCCCCTTCAATTGTTTCTTTTGGTTTTTTGAGACAGGGTTTCTCGGTGTGGCCCTGATTGTCCTGGATCTCACTCTGTAGACCAGGCTGGCCTCGAACTCACAGAGATCCATCTGGCTCTGCTGGGATCAAAGGTGTGCGCCGCCGCCGCCACCCCCCCCCCCACCCCCCCACCCCCCACCCCCCACCGCAGCTCCCCTTTCAATTTTGAATCTTATTCCCTTGCTTGTTCTATAAGACGCTATGGAAACGTTTTAAGACACCGTGGAAACGTTTTTTCTCAGTCCTGTCTACCAACTTTAAAAATGGCTCTTGTGTATGTCTTTCTTAGACTTTTGAAATTTTCAGTTCTGATTTCATCAAACAGCTTCTCTGTACTTGGACTGTTTAGGGATTTTGTTTGTTTTTGTCTTTTGTTTATCCTGTCAATTCTGAAGTTTGCTCTTAGTTGGATCCCAGGGTTGTTGGACATTTTGGTTGTGCTTTTTCCCCTTTGGATATTTGAAGGTAGTATTTCACCAACCTTGTCTCCCATCCCTAACATTCTTCCGCTTGGTCATGTCCATCGGTGATGCTTTCCACTGTAATTTAAATCACTGAGGTTTTCATCTCCATCATTTCACCCCCTCCCCCATCTCAATTTCTTTGCTGACTTTTTCATCTGTATTACTAATTTTCTCACCCAGTTTATTGACCTTTTCCTCTACATTGCTGACTTTGCTCTCCAAGTACTGAGTTGAATTGTCTGCTTGTTTGGGTCTGATTTCAGAAAGATCATTGATCATGTTTACCAGCAAATTTTGAAATCTTCAACCTGAAATTTGCATATTAAAGTATTTCTTTTAGTTCCATAATTGCTGAGTTCCGACCTTTTGCAGGTGTTATAATCGTCTTATTTCCTCATTTTTTATTTGTGTTTCTGTGTTACAATTTGTGTGTCTGTTGGTTTAGATATCTCTTCTGGGTTTATTAGGCATCTTTTTATTGAGCAGCTTACTCATAATAATCCATCTGCACTACAACTCAGGGAGGAGACAATTAATTGATGCAACAGCAACATCATCAAACTGTTCAAAATATAGAAATGCACTTAAAATCGCCACGTGGTGGTGGTGGTGCACGCCTTTAATCCCAGCACTCAGGAGGCAGAGCCAGGCGGATCTCAGTGAGTTCGAGGCCAGCCTGGTCTACAGAGCGAGATCTAGGACAGGCACCAAAACTATACAGAGAAACCCTGTCTCAAAAAACCAAACCAAAACAAAACAAAAGCACTTAAAATCGATTAAAGCCCCCAATAAAGCATCAACGACCACAGAATTGAAAATGGCAAACTACTATAGTTGGTGCTCTCAAGTTCAAAATTGTTTATGTTAAGTGTGGAGACACTAAATGAATGAGATAAAAGGAGATAGGGAAGGAGAGGAAGAGAAGCAAGATGAAGGAAGAAGAGAAAGATGGAGAAGAATGAGATGGGGCAGAGCAAAGGATTAGAAAAATTTTTTAAAAAATAGAAAAATTAAAAGAAGTCAAAAGCAAAGTTAGGCAAATATAAGACAGGAATAAATATCAGGCTGTTAAAGAATCAGAAAGATAAAACAAAAATATTACTAAATGGAGAGTGGTGGAGGAGGAAACAGTAGACAAGAAAGAAAGAAAGAAAGAAAGAAAGAAAGAAAGAAAGAAAGAAAGAAAGAAAGAAAGAAACTAAAAATAAAACCCACAAGTAAAATACTGCTAAAAATGCAGTAAAATAATAAAAGTGGGAGGGGTCAGAAGAGTCAGAGAAGGGCCTGGAATGATGGCACAACCTTTAATGCCAGCACTTGGGAGGAAAGGCAGACAGATCTCTGTGAGTTCAAGGCTAGCCTGGACTACATAGGTGAGTACCAGGCCAGCCAAAGCAACATAGACAGACCGGTTTCAGAAAACAAGTAACAAAAAATGCCAGAGACAAAAGAATATGGTATTAGAAGAGCTTTCTGTGTTTTCAAGGCTTGGAGATTGCCAATCACACAGACTCTGGCTGCCTGGGGCTCAGGCCAACGTCTGGACTCCATTCATGTGTCTCTTCTATAGTTTATGTTGTTGCTGAGTACAGACTGAACAAGTAACCACTGTTCACCAGAACTGTCTTACCTTGGTAGAGTTTCTTTGCATGCCAGGGGCCTTGGTGGACACATTTAGTTCTTCTGTCTGTGGGCTGGGCAGGCTCTCTGATCCTCCCAAGACACCCCAGATAATCATGCCTGGGGTGGCTAACGTTTTAACTGGCAAGTGTCTCCCAAGTGCATTGGGAGTAAGGGAAGCAATAACAACATGGAGATGTAAAGACAGAGGCTGTCCTAAGTACCAATCACCTGCCTTGTGGATGTAGCTGTGGATGTCAAGTACATGCCTGCAGCCTCAGCAGTGAATAACAGGTAAGTTGATCCAGATGTTATTCCACCACTGGCCTCAGGCTCAGAGTCAAAACCAGGGCTATCCTCATCCTTGGCGATACTACCTGCGCCTAGCCTCTGAGGAGGGACTGTCTTTCCCCAGGCACTCCCCTTTCTGAGCTAAGCCTCCTGCAGTCTATATATGGCCTTTGACCTCTCAGCGCCTAACCCTCCACTCTCCACGGTTCTTTCCTGGAGCCTTTACTCACCCTAAGGCTGGGAACAAACCAAATTCAGGCTCCTTACAAGTAGTTATCCCCGATCTCAGGACCTCAGGTTAATTCAGATTTTAGCAGTAGATTCTCTCTCTGGGAGGTGTTTGGCCACTCCCCTCTATATCAGGTAGAATAACAAAATGGGATTTCTTCCCACTGCTGACTCATTGGTTGAAGGGATCAAAACTCAACTGAGTCTGACTTACTGACGTGTTTTGCTTCTAGTATTTCTGTTTTGACTTTCTTTCCCCCTCTCAGAATTTAAATTTCTTTGCTTAAGTTCTCTTCCAGGTGGTTAAATTTCTCGTCTGTGTTGCTGACGTCTGTATGCAGGCCCTGAATTGACGTCCCTACTTCACTCATCTGTTTAAGTCTCCTTTGAAGTGACTGGTCATTTTTAAAAGTAGATTTAAAAAAAATTCCTTGTTCAGCGTTTCAACAGCTATCACTGGTTGCAGTTGCCGAGGAGTTAGGAGCTTGCTTTCACGTCTTCTTTTTGTGTGTTTCCACAATGTAATTTGTGCATGTGTGGTAATGGATATATATGTCTTCCTATTTTCCCCTTCTGTTGTTGTCTTGTATTATATTTTCTTAGTGGCAGTCTTCTATTGGACTGATGATTCCTGCCCCATATAGAAGAGAAAAAGCAGTCCGTATAGTTAAAACAATGAAATGCAGTAAAAAAAAGTAACCAGGTACTTTATTTACAACCTCTGAAAGGTATGGATATAAATGAACAAGGCTACTAACAGGATAAACCAGGATTTTAAAGATTATTAAAATTAATGATATTCATAACTAAGAAATAAAAAGAGAATGAAGAGCTGTAGAGATGGCTCAGTGGTTGAGACTATTGGCTGCACTTCTGGAAGACCTGGGTTCAATTCCCAGCACCCACATTAGCATATCAGAACCTTCTGTAACTCACGGTCCAGGAAATCTAATGTCCTCTTCTGGCCTCTGTGGGAAATGCATGCACACCGGCACAGATAAACATGCATACACTTAAACATATATTTTTTAATTTAAAGAGAATGAGGTGGGGTCAAAGAAAAAGGCAAAGCAAAATGTGAAGGAGAAGAAAAGCATATGTAATGAAGGCCTAAGAGATAGCAAGGAGGCTGGAGAGATGGCTCAGTGGTAAGAGCACTGGCTGCTCTTCCAGAGGACCCAGGTTCTATTCCCAGCACCCACATGGTGGCTCACAACCATCTGTAATGAGATCTGATGCCCTCTTCTGACATGCAGGTGTGCATGCTGATAGTGCACCATATACATAAAATAAAGAAACCCTAAATTTTTTTAAAGAAATAGCAAGAGAGGACTCAATAAAACAAAACCCAAGCTAGCAATATATATATATATATATATATATATAAAATATAATACTGGTCAATATTTCTTTTCTTTCTGAGATGACTATGTGTTCCCTGGCCCCCCGTTTTTACTGGAGAGTAGTGAATGTCACTACTCTGCCTTCTGAGATCCTGGTTCTTTTTATATTTCTGGGCATATTTAGGAAAACATAAAACACATGCCTACTAAGTTCAAAACCTGGGCTTCTTCTAAAGTGTTTTCTATTTTTTCTTGTAGGTTATATTTCATAGTTCTTTGTGACTTATTATTTTATCTATTTACTCATTTTTTTGAATAAGCCATATTTCATATATATTTTGTAACTTTTTGTTAAAACTTGGGTACTTTAACTCTAGGAATCAATTCTCCTCCTTCTTCAAGAGCTATTGTTGACTGTTGAAGGATATGTTGCTGATTGAAAGTGATTCTGCAAAGACTGTTCCCATTTTTAATTAATTTTGTAGTCAAGATTTCCTGAAATATGAAAGTTGCCTTTTCAAGAAAAACTCCTGTCTCTTATATAAGCACTCCCTTTATGATGTAAGTTTTAGGTTATTTAGAATCTGAAATCGGTGATACATCAGGGTTCGACTGTTTCATCTCATTCAGTGGAGGGATCAATTCTTTAAGCATTTTTTGATATACATTTTATTTCCTATTTGGTTTGTTTTTATTTATTCTTTAAATTATTATTTTTGCTTCCTGAGAATTAGAAAAATGAAAATAGATAGTAATAAATGTAATACATTTATTTTCTTTTAATACGAAGCATTTGCTACTTAGCAGCCCATTTATACAATGCTTCAGCCAGGCATCTATGTTACAATCCATAATTGCACTGGTTAAATTATTTTAATATGACATAGAGCCAAGTGTTAACAATTTTATTTATTACTATCAATAATGCTGTTTTTAATTTATATTGATATTTGTTCATTTTTCTATCAACTTTCTCTGTTCACTTTTATTTTAGATTAAGAATAAAAAGGAAAAATTTCCTCATTTTTCAGGTAAGTTATTATTTATAAATTATTATAATTTTCAAATATTGGGTCATCAAAGTTTGGAACACTAACTCTCATAAAATAATGATTATCATAATTTCCTTCAAGATGTAAATTATAGTATTTTCTCCTCATTATAAAAACACAGCCTCAAAGTAACCATGGGAAATTTAAACAAAATACAGAAGCTTAAAAGTGGGAGTCCCGAATAGTTTTCATTGAACATACGTTCCAATGGAATTAGGAAGTCACTTATTACACTTAGCTGTTTGTGAAGTTTTTGTCTGCCTTACAGATCTCCCTAGGAACACATTTTCCTACTTCAAAGGGCTTCTTTTCTCAGTGATATCATTATGAAGACACAGTCAATATGTCTGTAAACCAATAGGCAATAATAAAAATATCTAACAAATAAAATAAACACAGAAAAATAAGATCATACAGTACTGGTGAATTAGAGTTTCAGAGGCCCTCTGATGAATTACGTTGGGTTGAAGGAAATGGGAGATTCCCAAGGAATCAAGGTAGCCACCACAGTGTATGTTAAAGTGGTACCTGGAAATCTTCTAACAACTGAAACAACCAGAGTTGCACAGTGAGTACCCATTCCTTCAGAAGAGACAACAGTAGTTAGTCAAAATGAAGATAAAATAATGAGATAGCTATAGTGCATGCTACAGACAGGAGATGAGCAAGTGATTACATCTCTTTGTACATTTGTGTGGTGCAAAGAACAGCCTTCATTTAAGGGCTTGTGGAGAAAAGAATCAAATCAAAATGTGATTAACAAGTTGTCAAAGTTGAAGTTTCTATTGCTGTGATAAAACATCATGACCATAAATAACTTGGGAAGGAAGGGGTTTAATTCATTTTTTTTTTTTTTTCGTTTTTCGAGACAGGGTTTCTCTGTGTAGCTTTGCGCCTTTCCTGGGACTCGCTTGGTAGCCCAGGCTGGCCTCGAACTCACAGAGATTCACCTGGCTCTGCCTCCCGAGTGCTGGGATTAAAGGCGTGCGCCACCACCGCCCGGCCCCATTTTATAATTTGTAGTTCATCATCATTTACAGGAAGTCACAGCAGGAACTACAGCAGATGCCATGGAGGAGTGCTGCTCATTGGCATGCTCCTTAGGACTTGCTCAGCCTGCCTGATAAAGGCGATTCTGAAGAAGTTTCCTATGAAAATAGAAAACAAGAAAACAGTAGAAACTAGAGAAAAGCTCACACACTATGAAGGGGAGAGACCTTGGCTGAGACATGTTGAGGCTCAAGGGCTTTGCAGAGAGCAAAATTTAAGAACTAGTAACCAGGATACCTGACAACTTTCTAAGCCAAAAAACTAAAGTCACTGCATGAGTACTTTTAGCTGAATATAGCAAAATGCTAAAGAAGAGAATGATTTAAAGAAAGAATTTATAGTCAAAAGGGACGCAGGCTGGCAAGATGAAGAACATTTATTATCTGATCATGTTAAGAATGAAAAGGCATGTTTGGGGAGCAAAGGAGACTGTAACGAACAGAAAGGAACTCTCTCTTCATCAAGATAATGGGGATGAGAACTCCAAAGGCATTCCAAGAGTTTGCAGAATCTCAGCATTTGCTTCCCTGTGCCACCACAAATACCTGCTTCCCCCATCTGTCACAATGCTCCTCAGTCACTCCAGTCATGATTCAGCCATCCTGAGTATGGTCTATGCCACTGCATGAGAAGGCCAAAGTCACACTCTGTAGGAACCATATATGCTAATTATGCAGGTCCACACAGTTGGCAAGGTACCAGGGTGGGGGAGGGGGGAAGTCCAGGTAGGGTCTTGTCCCAATGGCAGCAACATATGAACCCTCAAACCCCACCTCCATAGTGACACGCTTCCTCCAACAGGACCACACCTTCTCCAACAAAGCCACACCTCCTAATGTGCCACTCCTTTTGGGGGCCATTCTCTTTCAAACCAGCACAATGGCCAAAAGAAATGAAGACTACTGGATAGAATAAATGCATTTTTCATGTAAAAATGTCTGAATTTTGATGGCCAGGATTAGAATGCTATGGCTTTACTATGTTTCACAGAAAGCATATGTTGGAAGCATTATTCCCAAGATAGAAGTGTTGGGAGATGGGCCCTAATGAGACATTATTCTGCCATGAGAATAGGGTGAATGATTTAATACTGTTATTCCAAGAGTGGGTTTGTTGCAGGCATGGCTTTGTTTTAGTAGTGTGAGCCTGGTCCCCTCTCGTTTGTCTGCTTCCTGCCATGAAGTGATTCGGTAAGAAAGCCCCACCAGATCCTGGTCCTTGGATCTTGGAATTATTGGCTTCTAAAACTAAGAAATACATTTCTGTTCCTGATAATGTATCCAGCCTCGAGTATTCTGTTCTAGTAGCACAAAACTCCTGGATACCTCGAGAACCTCCAGAGAAGGCCTTTTGGAGTAAACTGGCAAAACCAGATTTCATGTTCTATTGTTTTCAACTATGTGTCAGAAATGAGAAGTTATTCATCTAAAATGAGGTTATGAAGTAGGTCTTAGCTCAGGTCTGCCACTGTGACTGTGACCTCAAGTCATTGTCTTGTAACTGCTTCAATTTTCCATGTATATGGAGAGCAAACCCAGGGCCTCCTGCATGCTAAGTCAGTGCTCTGTCACTGAGCTACAGCCCCATCCCCTCAGTTTTCCTGTTTTACAATGAAAGAGCGGGCTGGAAATGGTGACATGAGCCTGTAATCCAGGCAGGTGGCAAAGGCAGAAGGATTATGAGTTCAGATTTGGTTACATGGCAAGTTTCAGGCTAGCCTAGGCTACCTAGTGAAATTCTGCCTCAAACAATCAAAGCATGGAGCTATCCGCTAAGAAAATGTCTCTGTTGCCTTAAACTGCTTCAGTTGGTCCCCAGAACTCTGTAAGCACTCCATCTTATCTACAAACACCCATGACAATGACGTTCTGTCTTACAGGTGAGGCCACTGAGGCTGGGGGTGTTGTCCCGTGGTAGGAGGCTCACTGAGGCCACTGAGGCTGGGGGTGTTGTCCGGTGGTAGGAGGCTCACTGAGGCCACTGAGGCTGGGGGTGTTGTCCCGTGGTAGGAGGCTCACTGAGGCCACTGAGGCTGGGGGTGTTGTCCGGTGGTAGGAGGCTCACTGAGCGTGCAGGAAACCCTCAGCAGTCCGTCTACAGCACACTTGTAATCACAGCTCTTGGAAGGTGGAGGCTGGAGAATCAGAAGTTCAAGGTCAGTTTCGTTACACAGCAAGTTTGAGGCCAGCCTGGGCTACATGAAAACTGGTCTCAACAACAACAACACCCTACATAAATAGGATTTCTAATTAAAAGTGGCTTTAGTAGCTGGGTGTGGTAGTCCAGGTACAGCTGGGGGAGGTAGAGGCAGGAAGATCAGTGGTTCAGAAGTGTCCTCAGCTATGAAGCTAAATGGAGGCTAGCCTTGGCTTACATGAGACCTTGTCTCAAAAATCCCCCCAAAAAATAAAAATTAAAAATAAAGTGGTCGTACCAGACATGGTTCCCAGTACTCAAGAGGCAGAGGCAGGCAAATCTCTATAAGTTCCAGGCCACCCTGGTCTACATAGTGAGTTCCAAGCCAGCATGGTCTACACAGCAAGCTCCAGGACAGTCAAGGCTGCATAGAGAGATCTTGTCTCAAAAACCAAACCAAAACAACAACAAAAAAGTGGTTTTGCTACACTTTACATTGTATTTCAATTTGTTCATGCAAACCAATCTTCTATAATTAACCTAATAAATTATATACAGATATGCATGGCATATTTATATTATATAAAATAAAATACAGTGCATTAAAGGGTTTATTTAGTAAAGTTCACAGGGTACCCTTATAAGTTTCCTTCAATTACCATCATCTGTAGATAAATTACAAGTGTGGAGCTAGGCAATTACTTTCTCTTCTTCTTCTTCTTCTTCTTCTTTTTCTTCTTCTTCTTCTTCTTCTTCTTCTTCTTCTTCTTCTTCTTCTTCTTCTTCTTCTTCTTTTCTTCTCCTCCTCCTCCTCCTCCTCCTTCTTCTTCTTGGTCTTTTGAGACAGGATCTCTCAACAGACCATTATATAGACCAGGCTGGCCTTGACCTCACAGAGATCCACCAGCCTCTACCTTCCGAGTGCTGGGATTAAAGGCATGCACCACTGTGCCAGGCTAGCCCAGTTACTTTTAAACACCGTTCACTGAGACTTCTGAGTCTGGATATTTGTGCACATACATTCTGGCCAAGCACTACAATTCATTGAAATTATTTTCATTCCACTTCCCACTTTATAATTTTCTTGGCTTCTGCAAAAGATACTTCTCTAGTATCACAAATTGAATTATTAAGGAAATACGTAATTATTCATGAAAGGTATCTAGAATACAGTGTGGATAGCAAAGTAACAATGGAAAATTACCCAGTGTCTATCAGAGAACAGGACACAGCTCCAAAGAATGTGTATAAGCCACCTTTTCAACAAGCCATGAAGCACAGCTTTGTATGACGTACCTAGTATTTAACACCCACCGTCAACAAACAGCAACTAGGACTGCAACAATGATAGGCTGAATTACTATTTTTTGAAGTGCCATCAAGAGCCAGAGTTAAAAGTGGAAATACGTAACATAAGCATTATAACTACAACCTAAATTAACCTTATATGCATGAAATGTACGGAGCGTGGTGACATGTAACTTCTATTTCTTACCACAGACATTCCAACAGTGACAGGGAAAAATCACAGAGTTTCTAGGTGAAGACTCAAGGGTATGGATGTATCCAGAGACCAGAGCCAAGAGGGCACTAACGATGGTTAAGGATATCGATGACATTCCCATTACTTTCATGCTTCCTATATGCTGGACACAGTGTTAGATGTTTTAAACATTAGGTCACAAAACACTCCTCCCTTGACAGATTGGCAAAACAAGGCTAGAAGAGGCAGGCTTACTTACTGAATTAAATGGTTAGTTGTACAAACTCACAGAGTCCAAGTCCTGGACTTTTGGCCACTGTGTTTTCATTCATGGCCAAGAGATGTATTTATAAAGCCCACTTCCCAAATGCTACAAGTGCCATCCAATTTATATGACCTTGGTGGGTTTTTCTTTTCGTTCTTTTTCAGATGTGTTAACAATACCTGATAAGCCCTTAGGACAAGAAAATACAAATCAAAAAGGGAAAACTGTAAGTAGATGGATATATCCTTTAAACATTATTGGCACTTCTATTATTTAGAGTTTATTAATATTTACTGATATTCTTCAATATGCATGCATGCATTCATTGTCAATCAATTTTAGGGTTATATTATAAATTTATAGAGTAATATAATTGTCCCACTGACTTTAGCAAGTCCTACAGTTCAAGTCAATGTTTTTGATTTGCTATTTTTTTTTTTTTTTTTTTGGTTTTTCGAGACAGGGTTTCTCTGTGTAGCTTTGCGCCTTTTCCTGGAACTCACTTGGTAGCCCAGGCTGGCCTCGAACTCACAGAGATCCGCCTGGCTCTGCCTGATTTGCTATTTTTATAAGAAGCCGTATAACTAGTAAAACACAGACCAGGAAGTGTGGAGTTTGAGCCCATCTTCTGTGATATAAACTTTTGAAAAGGCCATTTGCTCATCTCAATTGCCCATTTATACTTAAAGTTCACTATTTGGATTTCTCTTGTTTATATGCATTGCCAAGCTAACAGCAACAAGTATTCCAGAAATAGAACAGGAATTGTGTGGCTTGGAATAGAGATCAAGCAAAAAAGAAATGTCTAGATGAAAGATAATGAGAAAGAAAATTTTGATATATCTCACATTTGCATTCAGAAGGGAAGAACCATGCTCATAGGGAAAGTTTCCAAGCCCTAAGGAAGCACCAGTGCTTTTTCTCACAGTATTTAATCATCAACTGATACTGACTCCAAGGCATTGACATTTCATGCTCATTCTCTTTCATAGGGAGTAGGTTTGCTGTGAGAATTTTTTGGACTCCATGCAACAGAATGTAGTAATCACTGGAAAGTCTGAAGTCCTCAGTTCTTTAGGACATTACTGACTAATCTTCACACTGGCTGTCCCAGCAAGCCATTAAGATGTCCTGGAGATGTTAATGTTTGATGTTCACATCTTCATACTAACTCATGCATCTAGAAACAGCACAAAGACTCTGGTTGACTCCACAGTCTGTGCTTATGTTAGAAGGAAGGGCATGGCTTCTGTACTGCATTGCTGTCACAGGAGGCCGAGATTCCAAGTTAGAAGACATGGACTGGGTACCAGTCTTTCCACTGTTAGCTGGGATTAAGTTGACACTGTTCATGGTACCTGTGTACCTACTGTGCATCAGGCCCTAAAAAGGACATCTTGTGAGATTATACCATAACGCTGGCACCATTTTAAGCTGTTGTGAGCATTGTTTTGATTGGATGCTCACAAGTGGGAATTCCTATGGGTTTTAATTACAGGTGAGGTCACTGAAGTGGACTTTGGATAAACTACCTAGGGGTGTCAGGATTTTATTCTAGAGCGCATACAGTCAACCACCTCCTGGGAGCCCATCTTGAGAAGTTAAAGATACTCAAGTTACATCCCATTTAATGATGGGTATACATTCTGGGGAGTGCAATTTTACTGTACAGAAACCACACAAAAACTTAAGACTGTTATGACATCACTAGGTAATACGATCTTAAGATCACTGTCATGTATGTGGTCAGTCACTGACCAAAAGGTATAGTTAATAGAAGAAATGAATGCCATAGCACAGAATGGAGCAAAAACTCCCTACTCAGTCATGATAAAGCAGACAGCCTGAATAGTCCTATGAGTATTAAAGAAATGTGTGTCAACAGATTATAGGAATGAAATAATGCAGAATGATATGGGGGGAGCTTTTCAGAAAATTCAACACCCAGACATTATATAAAACTCTGAACAAACTTGTAATAAAAGGTAGCTTTCTCCAAAAGTTCACATATTACATTGCATTGAACAGTGAAAGACTGCTTGCCCTTAAAGATCAGAAACAAGGCAAAGTGTTGCTGATAGTTCTCGTTCAGTAGAGTGCAAGAAATTTTGGTCACTACACTATGGCAAGCAAAGGAAATAAAAGTCATGTAGACTAGAAAGGAGGAAACAAATTCCATCTTCAGATGATACAATTGTCTACATAGAAATCATCAGGTAGCCTGCAAAAGAAAAAACCAGGAAACTAGTAACTGAGTTCAGGAAAGCTGATGAAAACAGATTCAATTGTGCAACAAAATAAAATAAAATAGTATTTTTATATACTAACAAAAAACACCCAGAAACAATTAATACAATTAATATGTTATACAATAACATAACTCAGAAAAGATACAACACTTATAAATCTATCAAAAGCATGTATAAAATATAGTAAAAATGACAAGTGATAGTAAAGGACATTGAACATCTAAATAAATAGAGAACTACTGTACTCCTGACTGGAGAGGTCAACATAGTCAAGATGTCAGTTCTCTTCAAGCTGCTCTGAAGATATCATGTAAATTCTGTCTAAACTGTAGCTTTTGTAGAGAAAATATCACTCCAGAAATGTATGTAGAAAGACAAAGACAAAGAAATATTTTCAGAATATTTGAAAACAATCTTTAAAAGGAACAATGTAGGAACAATTACTTTGTATTATGTAATAAAGAATCAAGAGAGTATGATTTTGGAGGAGCAGCAGATACATAGATCAGTGGGAGATAATCAGCATCCCAGTGGGGATGGAGAGATGCCTTAGGGGTGAAGAGCACTGGCCACTCTTGCAGAGGACCGGAGTTTGATGCCCAGCACCCACATGGTGGTCTACTCCAGTTCTGGGGATCCGATGCCCTCTTCTGAGCTCTCTGAGCACCAAGCACACACATGGTACACATAAAAACATGAAGACAACCTCTCAAACCAAAAGTAAAATGGATAAGTCTAATAAATAAAGTGTTAAGGAAAAAAACATGCCAGCAGTTGTCCCGCAGGTACAGTGAAATGGTTGGTAATGATGCAGAAGGAATGTAATGGAGAGGAGAGACCTTTCTGACTGTGTTGGGGGCAACTGGACATTCACAGGCAGAAATTTAAATGAATCATGGCCTAGGTCTCATCAAGAATTTAAAATAGAATGAAACTAAAACTAGTGGATTGTGGAGGAAAATATAGTGGAAAATGTTATAGTCACTCCCCCACAAAAGATGAATAGTTTCTTTTTAAAAAACGAAAGACAGAAACTAGATCTGTACCTGCCAGTAACTGAATTCTTGGGTACTTATCCTACAGAAATTAAGAGTTATATGTTAGGAAGGAAAGCCTGGGAACTCATGTTCACAGAAGCCTTATTTATAGCTTGAACTTGGAAACAACCAGATGTTCACCAACTCCTAAGTAAATCCGGGAGCAATAGTCAGCAGTGCAAGGGAGCAAATCATTGACACATTAAGTAACTTTTTTGAATTTTTGAGAATTATGCTAAGTAAAAATAGACTACTATCAAATACTATTTTCATAACATTCTTGAAATAGTACAATTAAGAAGTGGAGAACAGATTAGTGGTTGTGTATGGAGGCAGGGAGGAAACAAATGTGACTATAGAAAGGATTTCTTTTGGAATATTCTATATCTTACCTTTATAATGGTGATGTCTTTGTTGTGAAATCATACAACAGTTGTGTTAGAGCCACTACCAGGGGAATCCATTAAGGGGTACACAGGCTCCCCATTACTTCTTAATAAAGCCAAGAGAAATTCAAATGGCAGCCTATAAGACAAATTACATACAGCAGACTTAGAAGTTTGAAAGAATCTATCACCAGGGCAACAGATTTATAAATTGAAGACATTTCAGAGTTCTAGAACAAATTCCTAAACAGCTAAGCTTCACAAGCAAGTTGCAAAATCCTCAGAATTCTATGGGAAAGTAGGCCTTGGAGTAATTTGAAGGTGGAAAAGGAGGTTTTTATGAACCAAGGTGGACGGTGTGTTAAAGAGATGCTCTGTTTAGAGACCAGCGCCTGGAGCACAAATCTGAACTGGGAAGGACTGGCTGCACCCCTTTCCAAGCCCAGCTTATCCAGGTGGCTGTCTTTCAATAACATCTTCATTGTTTTTGAATTAAATTTGTAAATTAAATTAAATTTGTAAATTTTAACTTGGACAATATGGCTCAGCTAACTTCCATTTAAACACTGGCATTGACTGGATCCTAAATCCTTTTCCCAAAGTCAGGATGCATGAAAGGTTGAGAGGGATGGGAATTTAATTTTACTCAACAAAGAGAGTATTTGATAATGACAAAGAGAAATTGCTATGGTGTGGTGTGGTGTGGTGTAGTATAAACAAAATACCTAGAATAAAATTTATGAGCATATATAAAGTATACACAGTGATGGGTTTCATTATCTTCCCACTCACATCTATCATGTGCTTTGATCATATTCACACTTCCTGTCAGCCCCTTGTTGTCCCCCTCCGCTGATCCCCTGCTCCTTCCCTACTGGCCCCCATTCTATTTTCACATCTGTAAAAACTTTTTGGTGGCCCAGTGAGTTTCACTGTGGTTCCCTACAGGAACCAGTGAGAAGCTTTTTACAGAAGTACAGGCACCTTACCAGGTACTGCTCAGTTGAAGAAAATGTCTCATCCCCAGTGACCACCAAATGCCTGTCTCCTCAGGGAAGAGCGGGGTCTCATAGGTGTCTCCCTGCCTCCATAACAGATGTTGGTAGGGCCAAATTTTTTTTTTTTAATTAAAAGTTTTATAAGCCGGGCGGTGGTGGCGCACGCCTTTAATCCCAGCACTCGGGAGGCAGAGCCAGGCGGATCTCTGTGAGTTCGAGGCCAGCCTGGTCTACAAAGCGAGTTCCAGGAAAGGCGCAAAGCTACACAGAGAAACCCTGTCTCGAAAAACCAAAAAAAAAAAAAAAAATAAAATAAAAAAAATAAAAAAGCCGGGCGGTGGTGGCGCACGCCTTTAATCCCAGCACTCGGGAGGCAGAGCCAGGCGGATCTCTGTGAGTTCGAGGCCAGCCTGGGCTACCAAGTGAGTCCCAGGAAAGGGGCAAAGCTACACAGAGAAACCCTGTCTCGAAAAACCAAAAAAAAAAAAAAAAAAAAGTTTTATATTCAGTATTTTCAAAATGAAGACATCATATTTTACTTTCAAAGCAAAGAATGAATATTTTAAAATATTTCTTTATTTTATGTGAATTGGTGTTTTGCCTGTGTGCATCTGCGGGAGGGTGTCGGATCCTCTGGAACTGGAGTTACAGACAGTTGTGAGCTGCCATTTGGGTGCTGGGAATTGAACCCAGGTCCTCTGGAAGAACAGCCAGTGCTCTTAACAGCTGAGCCATCTCTCTAGCCCCCACAAAGAATGACTATTTAGGAGTGTTCCAATCCATAAAGTCTTTTACTGTTAAATGATTCATGCTGATTGCATAATTATGTAATTCATATAAAGTAATATGAGGGTCTGGTATAAACAAGCATTATGTGAAGTATGTTCAGTATAAAAAGAACTCTACAATTTTAAATGAAAGAGTGTAGTCAGGAGCTTCCTATCTGAGTATTTGCACACACTCGAAAACAACAATAAAGCAGGCAGACAAGTCACCAAGAAAACGATGGTCACGGGCCACTCTTATTAGCCCTTTGGTCTTTCATCTTCGAAGCGGTTAAATGTTCTATTAATGACAGTAGATGTATATTTTGATCACAAATGCAGTCTGAGTATGAATAAATAAACACATATCGCCCTCTTCTTTGTCCCTTCTAAGTAGGAAAACAAAAACAAAAATGCTAGATGTCTCTCGATGGCCTGCACGGCCACAGTTGTCCCACATACGGTTTGAACAGATTGTAACTTGATCTTCTGAAACCTTTCTTGAACTACAGTTCATCCAGTTAAGGAAACCTTGGGAAACACGTCCTACTGACATAGTCAGTGGCCTCCGAAAGGTAAGGATCTGACCAGAAGACAGCTGGGAGGGTCTTCAGCAAACCGAGGGCCGTGGGAAACTGGCCAGGTGCCACTCTTGTCAACAAGATACCAGCTCCTTCAAGTAAAGCTGCGAGAAGGCATGGCCACTGACCCGCCCGACCATGGCTACAGTCGACTTCTTGCTGCCATTATGTCTCCTAAGGTACCACTAGAGACGGAATTCTAGGGATTCTCTTTTCTCCGTGGAAAACAATCCTCTCCAAGCTTCAAAAGTACATTAACTGTGGATCTCTGATTTTAATGGCTGTTAAACTCCCTTTAGTGTATTGTTTACTTCCACTTAAGAATTTTGAAAACCTCTGATAGCTTGAAAGATACCATTGTCCATGGTACCCACGGTAAAGGCCACACTACAGTCATCCGCATGTCACGAGGTGCCCTTAAGGTACTCCTCCATTTTAGCTCTAGCCAGGGGCGTTAATGGGTCCAATCTTGTGCAGGTTTTGTGCAAGTCATCACAGGAGTTTGACAGGAATACCTAGATTCAAATCCATATTCTTCTATTCTCATCACCATAAAATTTTGAGTAATTTATATCACATGCTATCACCTATTTCAAGAAACTTCAAAGAACTTGAAACATTATAGGCATTTGTTGAACGGTAAGTACCCTTTTATCCCCTTCATGAGCATATAGCACAAGATGAGAAATAGGAGTAGTGTATCAGAGAATATGAGCATATTTAATGTCAATAGACACTGCCAGATTGTCCTTTAAACCGGAGGTACTAACATGCATATGTACTCAAATGTAGGAAAACACCCATTACCCTCCTCTACATTGTAGTTTTTTGTTCATTTGATGACCAACAATAATATTCCACCAATACTTAAATTTCATCTTTTGATTATTAATGAGAGTGAACAGTTTTCATGTGTATGTCATCCTTGTTGTTTCTATTATTTGACTGCTTACAGTCATCCATGTTTACAAATCAGGTTTTATGCTTATTTATTTATATGTGATTTTTATATTCTAAATACAATGCTTGGTTATCTATGATGGTTATTGATAGTTTTTCGTTTAAATGTTGATGGGGTCAAATTTAGCAGCTTTTCCTTTACGATTGTCACCTTATATCTAGTTTTAATATCTTGTTTAGAAGATATTTCTTCTTCCCAAGGTGACATCAGTATTCTAGATTTTTCTATTATATGCTTTTTTTTTTTTTTTTTTCGAGACAGGGTTTCTCTGTGTAGCTTTGCGCCTTTCCTGGAACTCACTTGGTAGTCCAGGCTGGCCTCGAACTCACAGAGATCCGCCTGGCTCTGCCTCCCGAGTGCTGGGATTAAAGGCGTGCGCCACCACCGCCCGGCATTATATGCTTTTTATGTTTACCTCTTTTTGTGTGTGTGTGGTGCTGAGGATTGACCCCAGGGTTTCACACATGATAGGCAAATACTTTACCAACTAAGCTGTACCCCCAGCTCATGTTTAGCTTTCAAACCATCTGGCTGGTTTTCTTTTTATGTATAACAAAAGAATCTCATTGTCTCAATGCCATTTAACAAAATTATCCAAGTATTTAACATACCTTTTGTCTTTCAACACCCACCACACCACCACAACACCCATTACCTAACTCCAATAACTAGTGGGGTTAGCGGCCTCTGACCCCTTTCCTACCTTGTCACCAGGACAAACTGGCAGCATATCATTTATGTGAGAATGTTTAAAGGGCTGGAGTGATGGCTCAGCAGTTAAAGACTAGGTTCACCACCAGAAAAGAATATTTAAAAGCCTCTTCCTTTTATGTAAGTAGCTAGTGGTGGTTGTTTTTCTACCTAGTAAAGAGACAACGCCTGGGCAGCCAACATGGAGAGACACGGATGAGTCCTGATTACATGGAGTCACTGCAACCAACCGTGCCCAAGCCTTAGAACTCCCAGTTAAATAAACATGTTCCATTTTAATGAAGTATATTGTTTGAAAGCAAGCATCATAAACTCCATTGATGTCTTTCCAAGTCAAGTGTACATTCTGCATGTTAAAGTTGGTTAATACTTAAATGTTACCCATTGTTAGAACTTAGGAGAGGGACTTGTTTACTGTAGTTGTTCAATGTCTGAAAATAATTGAGTTAAGGAATGGCAAAATATTAGATTCACAAAAATTCAATAAGAAATATTTTGAAGAAGTTGGAGAAATAGCTCAGTGGTTAAGAGCACTTATGCAATCATGTGCACGAGTTTGAATCCAAGGACGCTGCAAATACATGTAATGCCAGCTCCAGAGTTAGTACGTGAATTTTAATAAATTGTCTTAATTCTAATATGAATATGCAGACTGGCTGACTGAATGAAAAAAAACAAGGTGCAAATGTTTGCTGTCTGCCAGAAACTCGCCTCAGTCGCAGTGACATGCACAGACTAAAAAGATTGAGATTTAAAGTGATATTCCAAGAAAATGGAATGTAAAAGCAAACAGGAGTAGTAATATCTGACAAATTAAACTTCAAGCCAGATAAAGAAGGTCACTACATATTTGATAATTTCTACTGCAAAGTAATTAGGAGACAAAACACTTATTTAGCTTTAAACAACGTTTATACCTTTAGTGAGTATTGAGAGTAAAATGATCTTGAACAGTATTTTGTATTATAAGTGGTCTAAAGTTAAAACTTCCTCTTTTACAAGGTGGCTTTTACACAAAAAGAGTATACTACACCAGTTTTCAGAGGGGAATCTACAGAATTCAAACCCAAACATCAGGTGAGTCCTATTATCCTAGTCTGGTACCATTTCTATTCAGTTACTAGCTTTCTCTAAATACTACATATGCATGTATATGTATATGTAAGTATACATAAATAACGTATGTATTTCTCAAACCAGAACTAGTCATTAGAAATGCCTAACTACCTTTAAAAATAATGCATTTACAAGCTAATCAATTTCAATCTGAAATTAAATCTTGGAATATGTGTTTCTGAAAAAAAAAAAAGAAACAAAACAAAACAAAAAACCCAAGAGATTCTTAATATGCCACCTGAGTATCTATTAGCATTTGAAAAAATAATTATAATATATTAATCATTAAAATGCACTTTGAGCTGAGTTGCAGTGAACTAGTAGGCTGATTATTTCAGATTTTGCATTTTTTTCAATCTCACAATGTAGAAGCTGCACAAAGAGACTGACTAAGAGGCTTCAAGAATAAGATTTTAGAAGACGAAGCCTTTAACAGCTGGGCTATCACTCCAGCTGGGGAGTGGAATCCTGGCTGCTCTCTCAGAGGACCTGAGTTTAGTTCTGGGTATCCACATCTGGGGCCTCCCAACCACCCATAGTGCCAGCTCCAGAGATCCAAGCCCTACTGCCCTGAGCGGGCAATCACATGTAAATAAAATAATTAAAAAATATATAGACAGATTTCATTTTAAAGATTGCTTCAACAATTGACTATATAGATCTCAGTTTAATATAGCTAATCTCACTGTAAGCCAGAGATTTTTACATTATTCTCTTAGCCATCTCTGCATACTCAAAAAGCCCAATTCTACTGTGTCATATTAAGGACTGAGCAGAGGCCTTCATTGTGGAAACTCAAACTTAAAGGCAGATGATGCCCCAAGATGATCTTTAAAGAATAATATCATGGACATTTACTACTTGTATTCATTTTTTTTAAATTCTGAAATTATTACTAAATGGTAAATATTTATAGCAGATGAGATTTTGACCTTGGTGTTAACCACCTACTGTCTCAATAGACACAACTAACTCTAACCATTAAAAGAAGTATTTACAGTGGCGTTCCAGGAGTTAATGATTTCACTGTAGACAGAGTAAGGAAAGAGGATCCCTTAAACCCGGGCATTCCAGGCCTGCCTGGGCAACACAGGAAGATTGCATCTCAAAAATAAGTAGAGAGAGAGAGAGAGAGAGAGAGAGAGAGAGAGAGAGAGAGAGAGAGAGAGAGAGAAAGACTCAAAAAAAGGTAAATTTAAAAGCTAGCAATGCCAGTGCCTCACCAGAAAAATTCCAAGTAGCCAAAAACAAACAAACAAACAAACAAACAAAACAAAACAAAACAAAAAACCTGAAAGGATATGTTAGAATTAGGAATTTAAATTTTTTTCGCTAAAAATTTATTTTCGGGGTTGGGGATTTAGCTCAGTGGTAGAGTGCTTGCCTAGCAAGCACAAGGCCCTGGGTTCGATCCTCAGTTCAAAAAAATTCTTTTCACTCAAACTTCAAGTATTTTCAAATAAAGTTGACTTTTCAATTGACAACTTACTTTATAAAAACTGACTAGAAAAGTCATGATAATTTTAAATAAGTGCTAAGGAATTTCTTTTTTTCTTTTATATTGTACTTTCAGAAATTCATCAAGGGTGGTCTTGATCCTTTTCTAAGGAACATAAACAGCAAAATGTCATTCAAAAAGAAGAAAGACCAAGACACATACAGATATCCAAGCACTTTAAGTACAGAAGTTGCAGAACACGAAGATCAAGACCCTCCTTACCCAGAACATTCAAGGTCTGCAGGATCTAATACAACCTGGGCTAACGATTCTAACCTCATCACAATCCACATGGTAACCAAAAAGAATAATGTGCCTCCTGACCATACTACCACCACCACAATGACTTCAGACAGGAAGAACAAGTTGCCACATGATCCTACTCTCAACACAACAAACACTTCACATACAAAGAGTATATTTACAAGTGATAATCCCGTTATCACCATAACAAAGATTTCAGAATCTGATTATAAACTGTCAACTGATCCTAGTTCCAAGACAACAAAGCCTTCAGAGACAAGGCTATCCAGCGGCCCCAGTTCCAATACAACAAAGCCTTCAGAGACGAGGCTATCCAGCGCCCCTAGTTCCCATACAACAAAGCCTTCAGAGACGAGGCTATCCAGCGCCCCTAGTTCCCATACAACGAAGCCTTCAGAGACGAGGCTATCCAGCGGCCCCAGTTCCCATACAACAAAGCCTTCAGAGACAAGGCTATCCAGCGGCCCTAGTTCCCATACAACAAAGCCTTCAGAGACGAGGCTATCCAGCGCCCCTAGTTCCCATACAACGAAGCCTTCAGAGACGAGGCTATCCAGCGGCCCCAGTTCCCATACAACAAAGCCTTCAGAGACAAGGCTGTCCAGTGGCCCTAGTTCCAATACAACAAAGCCTTCAGAGACAAGGCTGTCCAGCGGCCCTAGTTCCCATACAACAAAGCCTTCAGAGACAAGGCTATCCAGCGCCTCTAGTTCCAATACAACAAAGCCTTCAGAGACGAGGCTATCCAGCGCCCCTAGTTCCCATACAACGAAGCCTTCAGAGACAAGGCTATCCAGCGGCCCTAGTTCCCATGCAACAAAGCCTTCAGAGACAAGGCTATCCAGCGGCCCTAGTTCCAATACAATGAAGCCTTCAGAGATGAGGCTATCGAACGGCCCTAGTTCCCATACAACGAAGCCTTCAGAGAATAGGCTATCCAGCGGCCCTAGTTCCCATACAACGAAGCCTTCAGAGACGAGGCTATCCAGCGGCCCTAGTTCCCGTACAACGAAGCCTTCAGAGACTAGGCTATCCAGTGGCCCTAGTTCCCATACAACGAAGCCTTCAGACACTAATAGGTTGTCCCATAATCCTAGTATAAATGGAAATAAATCTTCAGATCCTAGTAAGTTGTCCCATGATCCTAGTAACATTTCAACAAAGTCTTCAGATCCTAGTAAGTTGAGCCATGATTCTAGTATCAATGCAAGAAAGTCTTCAGATACTAATAAGCTGTCCCATGATGCTAGTATCATTTCAACAAAATCTTTAGATAGTAAGAATAAATTGCCAAGTGGTAAGCCTAATGTCAGTTCAGATCTTACTACCAACACCGCGAAAACTCCAGCTACGAGGGACAAGTTAGCATGGGCTCCTGCCACCGTCACAGTAGACTCTTCAACTACGCAGAGTAAGTTAGAAGAACAGCTACCAGCTGTATCTTTACCAAACTGCCCAAGAGAACCGTCAGTGACTGGAAATGTTAGCATATATCACCCCTCAAGCACAATCAATTTTACCTCTGACATTGAAAATTTAAAACAGTCAATAGTACTCAAATCAATTTTAAGTAAAAATCTGCAAGACCTTTCAGATGAGTTATTTTCTACACCAGAAGCCTGCACCAACGCCGAGGAGATGCAGGGAAGCTCCCCTCTGCCTCTAGGTGTGCATGACAGACCATCATGTGGGACAGAAGACAGAGTGTTTGAACAAGTCCAAGATATAAACAGCTGGCTTTCACCCAAAGACATTCTGAATTCACAGGCTCTTTTAAGTCCTGTGATTAAAAGTGTTCCTCAAGATTTACTTCCAGAAGGCGGGCCAGGAACATCTTCAGACATAGGAGATGTCTCTGACAAACACTTAGGGGCTGCTGAAATACCCTTTCCAGTGAACAGAAAGAGCAGTTTCAAAACCAAACATTTAGTGAGTGAAGTATCAGGTTCTGATCAGGGTTTAAATAGCGATGTACGTGACTACGTCATTAAGCAGATATTCCCTGCACCCATATTCTCGAAGCTAGAGACAGGAGCAACAGTACTGAACGAGACACAGATGGCCTTACAGGACCAACTGTTCACATACTGGGAGAGAACTACATCTTCACAGATTCTTACCTACGAAGAAAAAAGCAATGGAGCTCCTTTGTCACGGCCAAAATCCGGGATAAGCACAATAATACAGTCATTTCCTGTAGAAACTCTTTTAGATTCTGGGATAATCAAAGTGATACAACTAGATAAAGAAAACCAGAGCTCTCTGTTGGACATACAGACAGCCTCTCCTGAGGAAAAGCTGCAGAATCCCACAGAGCAGCACCATAATGTCAAAAGCCAAACAAAACTGCTTTCAAGACAGACGACACCTAGCACTAAGCCCATAGAGACCTCTGTGAATGCAGCTGATTACACAGAAGACAGCCAAAGTACGTCGGCACAAGAGCCAAACTACCCAAAAGCAGAAAGAAAGTCTGACTCCCCAAATGAACACCAGAGTCCGGACACGGAGGAGGCTGGGCTCAGTTCCGCTGTAGAGTCTCTAAGTAACTTAATGGGCAATCTTAAAGACACAGACTCAGTCATATTAAAATCCATCCTAAAAACTATCTTCAAAAATTTCTTCAAATACAATCAGTCTGAAAGAAGAGAGTATCTAGACAAACAGTTTGACAGACTAACACAACATTCTTCACCACGTGGTACAGAATACTTAGAAAAAACGCAAGAGAATTTTAATAAAGCGGGCAAAGCAGAGAAGAAGCCCATTCTGGATCCAAAGCTGTCTGTGTTTCTAGAGAAACTCTCAGAGTCAGAAGTAAAAAACATGAAGTCTGAGTTAAGCAAGCACATTCAGCATTACCTTCTAGAAAAGCTCTCAGAGGCAGGCCACATCACCAAGGAGGACTTACCCCAAATTTACCGAAACCTGTATCTGATGAACGAGAAAACAGAGTTAAAAGAGCAAAGCTCTTTTCAGGACAAGTATTCCAAAACTGTTGAGGAAATCATGTCCTTTGTAAATAATTTTAACCATCATTTCATAGATAAACATTTAGAAATAAAGCTTAGATCTTTTCTAAATGAAATTCTCCAAAATTATTTCGTGAAGAATCTTTCAGGGAGCAATTTATTCAATGAGACAGACAGTGTGGCGCTCCGTCCCAGCATGTCCTCCATGGCGAGTAACAGCTCTTCGAAGCCTCTGCACGGGCTGGGGCAAGACATTGCCAGCGGAAGTTTTGGTTCAAGGCTCAAAATAAACATGAAATACCCTTTCAACGAATCTCTACAAAATTATCTTAAACCTTTATCAGAGAATGAATTATTAAGTCTAAAAGCTGATTTGAGCAAATACGTCCAGGTCCTCTTTATAGATAAACTTCATAAATCAGGGCTAATGACAGAGAGGCAACTAAAGGGGATCAGTCAGCAAGTTAACTCGCTTAATTCGCCTCCCATGCCATTCAAACACATAAACACAGATTCACCTTTTAGAGATGAAAGTTGCTTTATGAGGGAGGATTCAGAAGAGCAAAAGAAATATCCGAAAACTTGTCAAAATACTACCTTTCGAACATTGCTTGAAGATAGATGTGGAGAAACAGAACTGACCAGAAAGGGAGAAAAAGGAAGCTCCTTTCCACACAATTTAAAAGAAAATCCATCAACAACCTGGGAACATAAACGTGTTTATAGTAGGGAAGTTAAAACATTAATGAAAGTACAACCTCCTTCCAACAAAAACATCCAGGCAATTCCATTAAGTAAGTCACCAGAAAGACCTGCAGATATATTACTTAAGAAACACAAGCAAGACCATGGTTTCATGCCACTTCCTCAAGCAGAAAATTCTATTTACAAAACAGAGACTCAAGAGCCATACAGTTGGGATGGTAGAGCAAAACCAATTCAATCAAAACTCTGCTTTGAAAAGACACTAAAAGTGAAGGCGCTTGAGAAAAGGGATAACAATAACATTTGCAAACTGGCTGTTCAGGAAAGACCTGATCCAGGATTTTCACCTTACCTAAAACTTCCTACCTGCAAAACAGCAAGAGAAAATGAACACTTAAACAGGCTCTCCTTCCCTACCTGGCGGGCTAACACTTTCATTTATGTCAACACAGACAATGGGGAGCAGTCAAAACTAGACCAGTATTGTCAGAGGTGGAAAGAAAATAATAATAATAATAAAAAACACTTGGTAACATTTGCACAATTCAAAAATGAAATGGAAACTCTTTATATAAACCCGTATGAAGACTGCAAAGAAAAATGTGCCAGGGGTGCGGAATCGCAGTCGTTTCGGTACAAAGAGGAGGAGAGAAACTCCAGGCCATCTTTCTTCCCAGAAGTACTGACGAGAGAAAACATGAAATCCAAAAGAAAAGAAAGAGATTACACCACCAAACCGAAGAAGTCATTTCACAAGATAGTCAGGATACTGCCAGCCGCACTGCCCACTGCAAGGCCTCATCTCCGGAAATCTGTTCCAAGGACCTTACTCCACTGGACCGCGAGAAGAACTATACACGTAATAATGCTTTTCCTAAGTATTTTCTTCTGTGTTTGGCAAAGCTTTGTAATAATTTTGCCTTAGAATATGGATGCCTTCTAAATGAAGTGTGTGTGTGTGTGTGTGTGTGTGTGTGTGTGTGTGTGTGTGTAAAACTTTAATAGCCCCAAGATATACAGACTTCCATATTTTAAAAATATTCTGAAATTCAAATATCTTAACTGATTCAAAATACAATTGCAAAACCAGAGTGCCTTTTTATGAGGTAGGAAAAGGATACCTTGTCTGTACATGACTTAGGAAATGATGTTCTTTTCTCTAGGGAAGCTCTCTAGGCTGACAAATGTGCAGCTCAGGCACCCAGCCCTGTCTTTGGAAGCCCTGCTGGCTGGCCATCCTGACCACAGCCTAGGGTTCTGGGCAGTAAAGCCTACATAACCATGAGTGGCCAGGTACCATCGAAACCTAAGTGAGATTTTCTTCTGCCAGAGATAGAACTGTAGACATGGCTTTTCCAGCTATCTGGATTATCTGTCAGTAAAGAATACGAAGCTCTGACTCTGCTAGGAATTAGAAATATATATATATAGCTTATACTCTTGGGGATTGTGAATTGGACCTTTTCAATTTAACTCTACTTGTTCGGTCCTTTACCCTTTCTGCTGTATCATATTCTGAGATCTTGAAAATGAGATTCTAGGTTTTCTCAGTTCTTTGAAACTTGTACAGTGTTTGGATCAGACTCACTTGCCCACCTCCTCCCAGACCCACCTTCCTTTCCTACCTACCCAAGCTGTGTCCTCGCCCCACCCCCACCACGTCCAATTTGTCGTGTGAGCTATGGATGCAGAGTGTGATCAGCTTACTCAACTTACCAGCGGCCACACTCTTAAAGAAAACTTACTCCCCAGCTCCTAGCAGCTATCAATTGCCAACATCTCCTTGGCTAGGGGCGGGGCTTCCTTCCCCAACCTACCCTTTCCATGCTGGGATTTTGATCTGGCTTGACCTTGCACAAGCTATCACAACCACTGTGTTTCCTATGCACACCTGTCCTTTGTGTCTTGAGGACACTGTTTCCTCGGATTCACCCACTGCCTCTGACTCTTAGTCTTTCTACTCCCTCTTCTGCAATGATCCCTGAGTTTCGCGAGAAGAGGGGATGCGATATAGATGTCCATATAGGGCCAAGTACTCCAGTCTCTTATTCTCTGCGCCTTGGCCAGTTGTGGATCTCTGTTAATCACCACCTACAGTAATAGAAGCTTCTCTGATGAGGTTTAAGAGATGCATTAACCTATGGATATAACGTAACTAATAATAGTCTAATAATAGCTTCCTGACCTGACAAGGATGCCAGCTAGAGTTTTTATCTATCAAGTGGGCTTTAAATCCAAACAGAAAGTGGTTGGTTACTCCCATGATGTCCATGCTGCTGTTGCACCAGTGGGCATGCCTTGCCTGGCAGATGTTATTCTAGCTTACAGGGTTCACAGTTGGTAAGACTGATGACTATTTTTTCCCTCCAGTAAGATGCATAGTACCTTCCAGCACTATGAAACCTAATAGGGATGAAGTTTCCAGGCTCTGTGACTCATGTATGTGGTATCTTCAGCAATATGGTCTTATCGTTAAATCTGGAGGGTAACCAATAGCATTGGCAATAGCCTGTAATGTTTGAGGGTATATAGGACCTCACTGGTAAATAACTCTAAAAGCATAACATGTTGTTGGCACTAGGTTTTTTATTTGTTAGCCTGTGACATCTAGTAGGGGCAGCTATCCCGCTATAGGTCCCATAAGGCAATTTCATTATACACACAGAGAAGCAGATAGGTTTCCATGCGACTTTTTTTTAGAAAGGTCCCCATATTCCTCCTCTACCCCACTCTCCCAACCCTTCCCCAATTTAACTCTTCCTGTTCCACGATTAGGAAGTTAAGCTGGCTACTAGGCTTTGTGTGTAAATTGTAAGGCAAGAAAATATAGAAATAGAAGGCATTTATTCTGATTCTTTCTCTGTTAATTTGTATAATGGGCATGACTCATAATTTGGAAAACTGTTAAGATGTAAAACTGATCTTAAATCAGTAGCTTGATGTGCATATGTCTGCCTTTGAATGGGAAAATAAATCTAATTTCAGAAGTTACTTTGAGATTGTTTTATACAATAAAACAAGCTAATAACTTCATAGTGGCAGGACAGACAACTCTCTATTACATGTAATGTAAATATTCTAACAGCTTCTTAGTAGTAGGATAAGAATTTATACTCCTAATTTTAGATTTTCTATCTAAATATAGTAATTTAGTATTGAGCTAGTATGTGTGTGTATATGCGTACACACAGGCATGTGTGTGCTATGAAAAGGAACAGATTCAGTTTCAGTTCTGAAGAAACAAAAAGTATCAAGTTCCTTTAGACATTTTTTTTCCAAATGTAGAAATTGTGTTCACGTCAAATAGTATAAAAGCATACATGATCTCTTAACCCTTTGTGCATGCATGTGTATGCATGTCTGTGTGTATACAGGTACATATGCACATATTGTGGAGGCCAGAGGTCAACCCTGGCTGTTGCTTCTTAGTGCTATCCACTCTGTTTGTCGTTTGGTTTGGTTTGAGACGGTCTCTCATTGGTCTGGAACTTGATGATTAGGATTGGCCAGCTGGCAAACTTCAGGAATCCTCTTCTGTCTCCCGGCCCTGGGATTCCAGGCACTTACTACCATGCCCAGGTTTTGTTTGTTTACCACCTGAGCACCTCCCCAGCACTCAGAGCCCTCTCTGTGAGAGCAAGGGAGGACAGTGTACAGTCATCTCCCTGTATTAGGACTAAGTGTTTCTAACTTTTCTAACGGACAAGAGCATTGAATAGCACTGGACCTTCTGCCAGACGATCACAAAGATGCCCCTCTACTTCCTGAAATCTAAGAACTTCTGAAATGAATCAATCAAGAGAGAAAAGCTGTGTTGTTGGGACCTGACCCCAGAGGACAGCTCCTTGAGGGTTTTTAGCTTCTAGCTTCTTACTTCCCACTCCCTTTGAAGCAGCAGATCCTTTTTTAAAATCCAGGAATAGAAGGGACTTCTTTTGAGCCAGTGGTGTGGTTCCCATGTCCTTCTACTGACACCCTGGTTACCAGCTGAGGAGCTTAAGTTGTTAATACTGACGAATGTAGCAGAACCTCTCTTAAGAATCAGCTTGGGTTGCTTGTTCTACCTACATTAGAGGAAAAGGAATCACTGGGCATGGGAATATACACCATGCACTCCAAAGGCCAGATGATGTCAAGTTTTAGGCTAGCCTAGGCTACAAAGTGAGTTCCAAGCCAGTGGGTTCCAGGCTAGTGTGGGCCAGAGTGCAAGATCCTGTCTCAAAAAGAAAAACAGAAAGAGAGAGGGAGGGGGAGGAGGGAGAGAGGGCGGGAGGGAGGGAAGGAAGGAAGGAAGGAAGGAAGGAAGGAAGGAAGGAAGGAAGGAAGGAAGGAAGGAGTATCTTCCTGTTATCTCCAAACCCAGGCAAAAACTCAAGTCAGTAGAATTGGATTTTAGACTCTTGGAGCAGACTTCCTTTTGTGGATCTCTCTAGTCATCCAAATTCTTACTAGTCCTACCCAACCTTCATGACCCTACAATTCAACTAGTTCACTCTTGCCTTATTTCCCATCAAAACATCCATTTCTGTGAGTGGCTGTCGTGTGCCACCACCCCCACCCCAACGGGATGAACTGTGAATAAGCTAGCTTACACCACTGTATGGCTAATGGCTCCACACCCCTTTAGGGGTACATATAGATCTTCATATTAAAAGACAGCCATAAAATGTACAAAGAAGAGAACTGTTACTTTCTCCTCTTGTTATTTGGGTGTTCTTGAACTCATGGTAATCCCCTTCCTCCACCCTGAGTGATGGGACTACAGGCCTAAACCACCACCATATTTAGCAAATTATTTTTAATGTAAACATAATGATCTGGGTGTGGTGATACACACTTAGAATTCTAGCAATCAGGAGACTGAGACAGGAAGATTTAGAGTAAGAGGCCAGCTTGGACTATATACTAATATTCAGTCCCATACAAACATTACAATCATATTCTTAAATGTTATGCTGTATCTATGCACACACACACACACACACACACACACACACACACACACACACACACATATGCTATATACATATACTAACAAAGATGGTTGTTAAAGTAACTTGTAGAGATGGTAAAAGTTGAGATAATATAAAAGTAAAATATCAAAGTTTATAATTTATATTTGAGGTCATGGGAAAGACATTTTGGAATAGAAGAACTATAGACTAGGCTGGCTAGCTTTGCCCGTGTCTGACCCCAGAGGACAGCCCCTTAAGTGTGTCTGGGTCTCAGTTTCATGTCCTTCACCCTTTTGAAGCAGCAAGTCCTCTAAAAGGGTAAGTTGGTTTTCGATTCTTGTTTTTTGTAAACATGATTTCTAAGGGAGTATCTAATGGGAAGCACTGGGTATATGGCATGCCCTGGGACTGCCTAAGAAACATTAGGGCATTCATCTAACTGCCGATAGCACAAGCATTAGTTCTTATAATGTTAAAATGGTTTGTTCTTTTTTTTTTTGGGGGGGGGGGGTTTCGAGACAGGGTTTCTCTGTGTAGCTTTGCGCCTTTCCTGGAACTCACTTGGTAGCCCAGGCTGGCCTCGAACTCATAGAGATCTGCCTGGCTCTGCCTCCCGAGTGCTGGGATTAAAGGCGTGCGCCACCACCGCCCGGCTAAAATGTATTTTTAAGAAGCCTAACGTACCAATTTGATGTTTTGTTTCAATATTTAGGATTGTTTGGATAGATTCGACGATTTACAAATACCCTCAGTTAAACGTCCTAAAAACTCAAAATCCAGATCAAGACTTTTAGGCAAGAGTCCAGATGATTCCTATAACCAGGCAAAACACTGCACACGACCATCCACCGCTCCAGAGTCTAACAAGCGACGGGAAAGTGTCACCGGGAAATTCGCAAGTCCTCGGATGGTCTCGGCGGGCTTAGTTCATATCCATGACACCACCCCAGAGTATGACATACGGAAAGTGAGGTCCAAAAGAAAATTAAAAGAGAATATTGAAAAACGTCCGCTCATTTATGATATTATCCAGATGTTAGACACTGCAGAATAATACGTGAGGCCACCAGTCAGAATATAATTTCTCCATTAACAAAATGGTTTGGAGATCTATCCTTGTGAGTGATAGAAGTCAACAACGAAATTTCATCTTGTTAGACCATTTTGTTATGATTAAAATGAAAAATAAACACATTCTGTGTAAACGTGTTTTTGTTTATAAACCTCCCAGAACAAACTAAAAATTGTATATACAGTTGATGTTCATTAGCAGAGCTTTGCAGGCCAGTCTTTGCCTCTCGGGGTGAACTGGTCGTTAGCTCCCCCAGCATTTGTGGTACCTGGTTACTCCTGCCTGCCCAGGTCACCAGTTCTCCATTTGCAGCTGTCTGTGCTTAGCAACTAAACTTTACTTAGCTCTAGTTAAATTTTGAGATTCAGCAGTCTACACTTCTCTGAGCCGATAGAAAGAATGCAGGCACTTATTTTATTGAGTGACGGATCCAGGCTAAAAGCCAAAAGGAACAGTGAGAAAAGCCCTGAGCTAGCAAAAACGAGATGTGCTCCCACCATTCAGAAAGGAAGCGCTGTTACCACTCTTAAAGACTCCAGAAAATGGAGAACCAGCTGCTGCCAGGAGTATCAGGAGTGAGGTCAACTGTGAGAAGTGCCTCCCACCACCACTAACATCAAAACAACAAAAAGACTTTAGCCATTTCTGCCCTAGATGCCAGAGAAACACGCTATGCATGAGAAATGCAGTTCCAGTGAGGCAGAGGAGAGCGAAGATATGAACTGAGAGGTAGCAGGTAAAGAGAAACACCACGTGCCGGCTTTAGCAAAGATAGATTTCCTAGAGAAATCTCAAACTCCTGTGCCTCACTAGAACTATGACAGCATTGTCATGGCTGTGTTTCTAACATTTCACCACGTAAATCTCTCAAGTTTTCCATACAACAAAACTCTAACATTCCCCCTCAAGTAAGATCCTCCTGTCTCTGAACTGGGGTTCAGCTTTTCACAGCCACCGGACTCAAACTCAACACTGTCTTGTCGTAGAGCTTAAGACCGATAGCTTTTGGACCAGACTTCATCATCAGCTCTTATTAGCTCATGAGCAGACCTTGTGGCTTATCAGCCTCCATAATCTTGTGAGACAACTGTTTAAATGTCTACATATGTATGGATATTGCATGTTTTATATGTGCACATAAACATATACACACTCTAATTCCTAACATACCTACAGTAGGACCTCTGACAACCCCATCCACCTTTGGCAGATTATACATGCAGGACCTTCCCAGATTCAGAGATGCTAAGGCATGAAGTGCGATAACCTACATCGCCCACTATGGCAGCTGTTCTCAGTGCTCCCACAGTCCTACCCTCCCCCTCCTCCACCTGCCCACTCCAATTTCGCTCCCCTTCACTTTCCATCTCGGCAGGTCTTGGTAGCCCTGTGATAAGAGCAGCCCTAACATTGACTCTTGAGGCAGGGGTACAGCCAACAAACATAAACAGAATCTCTTCAAACTGCCTGCCTATTTAGTCTTAGACAATCATTTTATAACTTCCAATATAACAGTCATATAGATTAAGAAAACCAACTGACATAGACCCCCACTGATTACAACTCAAACTACGAAACATTTTTGAGAGTGTGCTAGTCTGGATGACAAACATGCCCTGTAGGCCCATGTATCTGAACACTCAGCTGGTGGTGGGGATGCTGTGTGGGGAGCCTCGCTGGAGGAAGTTACTGGGGTGCTTTCAGAGTTTACAGTCTTGCCCCATAGCTGACCCTCTCTTCCTGTGTGTGGAGCTGAAATGTGATCTTAGCTCTCTGCTCCTGCTGCCCTGCTTTCCTCGTCATGGGCAACAAGCCCTCCAGCCGCAACTCTTCCTTACTCACTGTTGATCACGGTGTTTCATCACAGTAACCAAAGTGACTAATGCACACATCTCCTGCTAAGGAGGCAATACCATTAACAACTGCATGGTCTTATAGGTTTGCTCCACTACAGAAATAATCATATCAAAGGCCGGGATGCCATGCATCTCTAACATCTACTCAAGATTGCCTACAGTTTATTAGGTTATTTAACTTATGTTTGAAAAGAGACCTTCTCTTAGCAAACCAAATTAGAATCTGTATTCTAGCTTTGTTAAGTCACACAAAATAAAGACATGTTCAATTTAATAAATTTTTATTGAGCTCCCACAGGGTGCATGAATTAAGGATCTATAACTTACACAGGTAGAAAAGTGTTACTTTAGCCCCTCCCTTTTAAGATGCAAACTGCATCTTCTCTTTATATTTCAAGTGAATTATTTAAGGTGAGCAAGGCTCAGTTTGATGTTACCATATGTAAAAGGGATAGTACAAACATTTTCCCTTCTCCAAAAAAAGGACTTTGTACCAGAATAAACCAGTCTGTTCATCTAACAATAGCTGATCAAAAAGGCTAGAAACTCCGGAAGAAAAGATGTTCCTGGAAGCACTGTCCTCGGAGGAAGGGCTCATTCCCAGAGGACAGCAGGACGTAGAAGGAAACTAGTTGGCTCAAAAATCACACTGAGATCCAGAAAGTACCAGTCACAGCTTAGAGAGAGAAAAGGAAAACAAACAAACAGACAAACAAAAACCAGATGACACTAACTGTAGCTGGATTCCAATTCTGATGTCGAAGTCGGGAAGGGACTCTGATCTGAGCAGAGGGGATGAATCCACGCCCCATGAGCAGAGTGGTTTTCACTGGTCAGCTCTCCAGGTCACCAACTGTATTTTCAAGTCTAGGCCTGGCGTTTGGACCTAACCACACAGAAGGAAAGCAGCAAGGAGAAGCTGTCAGGTATAGAGGACATGAAATGATTTGGCAACCCTAGAACTCCCAGTCTGGGTCTTTGTCGTCAGGAAACTCGCACTCCAGCTCACTCCACGGTGACGCTGGTGGCAGTGCCAGTGATGGCCTGTTATAAGCAGGTGGCAGCAGGGACAGGATGGAATCCTGGCTTTCTTCTTTCATCTGTTAAAGAAACTTAAAATAGTAATGCAGGCACACAGAGTCAACACAAACTTTATTATCAATAAATAACTTTTAAGAAGTTATAAAACTTTAAAATTAGTTTTAGGTCTTTTTCCTATAAATGCCTCCAATTCTGATAATCAGAAGACGGAAAGACTTAAAAGCTAACTAAACCACTTTTAATGGAATTATTCTGCCCTGTCATTAATTCCGGGAAGTCAAGACACCAGTTTTAAGTTAATGAAAACACAGAGTGTGTAACATGATACACTGCTTTCACTCATCTGACTGTGAAGACTAAAGGTCTTTCGGGTATTCTATCATTAGGGCCGTCAAGGGCAGAGGTGCGAAAGGCGTTGGAACTCACTACACCCGAAGACCTGAGTCCATCCCTGGGGTTCACACGGTAGAAGGAGAGAATGACTTCTGCACGTTGTCCTCTGACCCCCATGTGCATGAATGTAACACCCAAGTACGCACACACAATCGAAGATGTCGGAAATTAAACTAATAAAAATGTTTCCTTGCTTTAATGCTATCTTATAGGAAAGTTATTAGTAAAACTTGATGAAGTCAACAAAATAATGGTTTTAAAAAAGTAATATTTTCAAATATTTAAGATAATGGACATAGACCAGCTCACCTGCTTGAAGAATACATGGGACAATAAACTGCTTGCTGATGGCCTGAAATTTTTGAAAAAGTTATTAGAAAATAAAACCTAATATTAGAATGTAGATTTTTTTTTTTTTTTTAATTTTGCAATACCATTCAGTTCTACATATCAGCCACGGATTCCCTTGTTCTCCCCCCTCCCATCCCCCTCACCTTCCCCCCAGCCCCCCCCCCTCCATTCCCATCTCCTCCAGGGCAAAGCCTTCCCCACAGACTGAGGTCAACCTGGTAGACTCAGTCCAGGTAGGTCTAGTCCCCTCCTCCCAGGCCGAGCCAAGCAATCCTGCATAGGCCCCAGGTTTCAAACAGCCAACTCATGCAATGAGCACAGGATTTTTTTTTAGGTATATAATTACATTAGAAATGAGGTTTAGAACTATAAAGCTCAACACTAAAAAGTCAGAAAGAGAAAAGGACATAGATTAGAAGTAATTCTTAGCAACAGCCTGGACTGATGGGAGGAGACAATTCTGGAAATTCTCTTAAATTAGTCCATACTCAACTTTTACTGTACACATACTATTTACTAGGAACTACGCCAGGAAGAAGGTTCTAAGAACAATAAGATTCCTTATCTTCTTTCCACAATGCTAAAGCTAGCATCTCAGTCTTTAAAATCCTATTTATGTCAGTACGCTAGAAGGACACCATTTAGACTGCTTAGAGGTGTCTACACGTGCCTTAACGTGGACACGAAGAACAAGTGACTTGAAGATGGCGGCTGCCTGGGTACCGTGCGGCCACCAATGAAGCCCACCTCCTGTGATCTGGAACCCCGCGTTCTTCATCCTTGCTTATCACTGACTTGTTCTTAGCACTGATAGTCTCTAGATGAAGTTTTTGATCAAAAGATGTAAATTTCATGAGAAGGGTAATATCACAAAACTTCTAGAAGATATAAAGCACATATGTTTTGTGCCATTTGGAGGTGACCAGTGTTACCTTTTCTCGGGATCTTGCTGCAAACACAGTTGCACCAGGCTTAAGAAGGCAGGAGAGAACGTTTTTGTGGATGGCGTGTGGAGCCGGTCACTATTGACTGTGTGAGTTCCAGTCGAGACAAGCACGCTCTCGCCAATCCCGGAGTCTACTCCTGACTGGGAATTTCTCATTCTAGAGTCTGACTGTAGAAAAATACTGATATCCAGTGGGCTATATGGAGGACCTTTCAGTTTCTGTAATAGCATCTGGGGAAAGAAAAACATTTTTAAGTGCTTTATAGGTAAAACATTTAGACAAAAATGATAGTAAGTCTCTAGAGTCTACAACAAACGTGTTCAGTGGAAGTTATCTAGACCTAAGAAAGCTATCAAAGTGAGGCTCAGGGAGTTCAGAAGCATTACCTGAGTCCTGTGCATGTCCTGGAATGGGACCTGCCCACTGGCTAATTCACATGCTGTGATCCCAACACTGTAAATATCTGACTTCACATTATATCCATGTAAATCCTGTAAACACAATTTGAAGGCCTTAGTACAAATAATCAAGAGTGGCATACAGATGTCTTCTTGATAAGGGATGGTAAACAATGGAAAACGAACCCCCACAGCACAAAATCAAGATCTACCTAATAAAAGCTCTCACAATTAAAATTCCTAACACAATTTTGAGAAAAGGTCTTGTGGCAGCCATTCACCAAAAAACAAGGACACAACTGTCCTATAGTCAAACTCAAAGACATTTGAGACGCACAGACAACCCAATGCAAGAGCCACACCTGACCTGTCTCAGCAGTTCTGGACTCAGCCACGGCTGCACTGATGTGCTGAACTGTGGGAAATCAAACACAGCCCTATGCCTCTGTCCGTGCTTAACCAAACTATGCAGATGGGACAGGCCAGAGAGGGTCACCAGGCCATCACCAGAAATGAGGATATGGCTGGCTTTAAAACTCCTAGAACAAAAAGAAACAATCCTAAGTACTAGGAATCTGGCCAATGAAGAGTGACTAAAAGTCTGGTGAGAACACATCTCTATATTCCCTTGGGAAGTAAATACCCTTTATAAAACAGCAGTGTACAATACGTACTTAAAATACATGCCATTTCCAAGGAGTCGAAGAACTCCTTAGGTACTTAATACAGTATCAGAACATGGGGGTATCACAAAGCTACATGTTTGGAATTGGTAGAATTCTTTAAGAAATGAAATGGAATTATTTACTTTGCTATATTTTAGGCTGCACTGAAGCATACCATTATTATATCAGGTTAAATACAATGCAATAGAAGCCTCTGTGGGATAACATCACTTATAAAGATATGTCCGATTAAAGTTCCTTTAACTGTCCTATAGATTACGCAAGAGCCTTACTTTTCCATCTAAAACACTAACTTTGGACACTAATAGGGTGGCGCAGCCCATAATATCTCAATTTAAGTACAGTCAGTTAGGCATCCTCAGCCAGATGCTGCTGAAAAACAAGCGGGACAGGCCAGAGGTTAAGGAGACGGAGACAGGAGCACAAGTCTACTCAAAGTTCTCCGCGATGGAAAACGAGCTCAGAAGAGCGCAGGGCCGGTACGCGGGGTGTGCTCTGCAGGACTGCCCACTCAGCTAAAGAAAGGGCTGTTATAACTCACCTAGGACAAAACCAGGACATTAGCTGGAAAACCGGGAAAGAAGCTCATCTTCCCAAAAAGAACAAAGTCCCAGCTGATAATCTGGCTCCCACTCAGACAAGCACTCTGCAAGTGCCACACCAGCACACATAATGTAGTGTGAGCAGTTTTGGTGAACAGACCTGAATGGTAGGCACCAGCGTTACCCACTGGTCCCCCTTCAATCTTCATTCACAAATGTCTTATCCCCCTTTTCTAACACTTAGCTGCTCTTTACTAACGTGGCCCTGACGACTGCTTTTCAAGTTCTTTCACTTGTGTGGAGTGTGAGCAAGCACATACCTATGGATACAGCCATTCTGGTGCAGGTAGTTCAACCCTCGTACTGCTCCAAAGAGGATGCTCCTTATTAAAGTTTCACTCATCCCATCAGGAAAGTAGGTCCTCAGGAGCTGACTTGCAGAGCCTGCAAGAAAGCCCTGACATATTCAGATGAACACTTGAACTGTTTGAAATATTCCTTTCAGTCATAAGGAGACAAACACACATCCGTTACCTTTTGAGTCTAGCGATTTTCCCATGCAGATACAATTTTCCTTCATGAGTTACCACCACCACCACCACCACGCGGTGCTGGGCTTAGATCTAGGACCTCACATGCTAGGTGAGCATACTATCCATTTTTTAATTTTAAGGTAGAATCTCATTAAGTTGCCGAGGTTGGCCTTGAACTTATTCTGTAGCTCAGGCAGGCCTTGACTTGTGATCCTCCTGTCTCAGCCCCGCCCCCTCCGGTAGCTTATAGTTGCATGCCACCAGACCTGTCTTGAAATCTTTAATCCTAACCCTTAATCCCACTCCCCCTAGCTTCCTCCCTGCTTTTATTTGGAGGAGGGGCTGGGAATATAGCTCAGAGGTACAGCATTTGCCTACCCTGCTCAAGGCCCTGGGTTTCAACCAACCATAGTCTCTCATACACATCCCATGTGCGTGAACATGTGCGCACACATGCGCGCGCGCGCGCGCACACACACACACACACACACACACACACACACACACACACAAGCTTTAGTGACTTGTTAAAGGTAAGAGAATATTTTTCAGTTTGCTGAATAAAAAAATGTGCATTGTATATGTCATTTTAAATCCAGAAGTAATTCACACGAGCTTTTCTAAAGACTCTAAGAATCCATTCACTTATTTATTCAGCACACGTATTGAACAGTGTGTTATCTAAGCACCTAGGGATATCACGATAGAACACATAAATGACTACCTCCTTCAAGAAGCCCAAGTGAGAGAGCTGGGCACACGTGATGTTGACAGTACAGTGACGTCAGTTCAC